TCACTTTATACTGAGAATCATATTTAGATGTGTCTTTCACTTACTAGCCTTTGAGCCTCATAAAGTCAGGGGGGATTTTGTCTTATTATTTGGAGAGGGTGTGTTCAGCTCTCCGTGGGTGGAAGTAGTCCTATTGGGCCAAACTGGTACATAATGGGAATATTCATGAGTCACATCTGGATAGTAGAAAATGGTTGTTTTTTTTCGCTTTAAATAATGTAAGTAGTGGGCACTAGTGGATATTTTTTATAAGTATTTTGTGTAAAATCCAAGGCATATAAAGTAGAATGTGGAAAAACTTGGTTAAATTTAGTTTTTCCCTTTTTTTTTTACTTTATGATGAGTAACAAACACAAATAACTACTAATTATCATTATCAACAATAAACATCACAGGTCTGCTCCTTATGGAAAATAATTATGCCAAGTAATTGTTTTCTGTTTGGAGTGCTTCTTTTAGCTCCTTGCTAAAGTATGAAAACAAGTCGTCTAAGAGCAGTGCCATATTTTTGCAGCTTTAGACTGTTTAATACTGAGCCGGGGTTTTAGCTCAGTGGTTTCGCCACCTGCTGCGCAAGCGCAAGAACCCGAGTTCGATCCCCGATACCGAAAAGAAAAACAAAACCAAAGAATGTTTAATACAGTATAACAGAAAAAATTGCTAGAGCTTTAAATACAAATCCAGGTCTTCTTTAGATTCATTTAAATTTCTCTCTTAATAGTTGGCAGAAAAACAAACCTATAAATGAAAACTAAAATGACTTTCTTTTTTGTTCTAAATACTGTTTCAGGAACTCTTTCCTAAATCCTTATGAATAAAATACACTTGCAGTATGTTTATAATTAATCCCTTAAAATCCCTAAATCCTTAAAAAGAAAGTTGACCCAAATGCTTTAATAAGGACTTTATATTTACAGAAGTGAATATTTTAAATTCTGGAGTATCAGTTTTCTTCTTATAAAATAACATTCAAGCATCTTCCAGAAACTTCATCTTTTAGCATGCATTTGTTAATATGTAAATTGTTGAGAAGCCTGTTTTGGTTGTAAACAAGGTGAACATTTCCTTTCAAATTTGAGCATTAGTATAAGTTGACAATAGAGTTTAGTAATTTGGGGGCTGGTACAGTGCTGGGGCTCAGTCCCAGCGCCGTGCATATGCTAAGCAAGCCTTCTACCACTGAGCCACATCCCTAGTTTTTATATATTGAACAGGCCTGTTTCTTCATCAGTTGTTTTTTTCTTTTTTTGTTAGGTATGTAGCACATGTGTATAGTACATTATTACATTTCTCATGGGGAGTTGATAATTAATCTTAATTATCTAACATTTTTGTTGTGATTCCTGTGTATAAGAATTAAAACCAAACCCAAACCCTTACTGAATTTATCCCAGTAAGGTGTTTTTCAGATTCTTTTGCAGTAGTGCTGATTTACTTTTATCTGGTTATCTGCAGACAGAAATGACGCAGATATTAACTTCTTTGACTAAACTAAATTAGATTTTCATGCAAAGTACCCAGATCGTATCAATAGGAATAACCTCCACTAGCCTCATTGTATTTGCCCTCAAAGGGTCTGTTTATTTGCAATAAATATTGTAACTTGAGTTATATGTTCTTAGAGACTAAATAAAGCGTGACCCTGATATTTTTCAGTTAAGTTTATTTGGGGGGGTTATTATTTTCTTTTTTTGCTTATATTACTGAATTTTCCCCCTCACTTCTTTTTGTGTATCTGTATGAGCTTCCACCTCCAGCCCACTGGTCTCAGCCCTCAGCCTATCCTCAGTCGACTATTCTGCCTGTCTTCAAGATGAGTGTCCCTTCTCTAGGTGTCTCTGACCTCATCTTCCTTGCTTCCCTCCTCCTTCTCTGCCTGCCATTTCTCAGTTTCTCCACCCCTGAAATATTGGGATGTTCCAGAATCCCTTTTTTCTGCCTTTCCTTTGTTTTCCCTGTGTCTCTTCCAAAGCTTCAGATAGCTCCAGTGTATGAGCTGCTCTCCTGTCTTGGATCCCAGGCCCATCTGTCCAACTGTCTGCCCACCAGGTTGCATTACTTTTAAGTCCATCTGGTCTTGTGTAAGGTGCACAAAAGCAGAACTCAGCTGCCCAAACCTGTCCCTGCTTCTGTGTTTCCTCCTTGAGCTCACAGCACAGGCATCGTCATTGCAGAAGTCTAAGCCAGAGCTCTAGGAACTGAGTGTAATCCTCAGTACTGTGAACTCTCCCATGCAGGTCATCACCAACCTGCGGTTTCTTTCTGCTAGAACCTGTTTGTTCAGGCTGAGTCTTCAGTGCTTGGTTCTTAGTTCAGGTTCCCAGCATATGCAACCTGCGTTATTGTTAGTGATCCTATCTGAAGCTCTCTGGTCCCAGCTCTCATGCACACATCCGATTCCTCTCAGGTGAGTCCCTAGGTTGGCATCTAGAGATACCTAGAAAAGTGTTTGGAAATACAATAAAGTAAAGGGCTAAATTCCCCTGTGTAAAAAGTCAGTGCAAATGAGTGTAGGGCAGTGTTACAAAGGATGGGGAATTCAGGATTTCATCACAAGTGGACATTTTACCTGCGCTTTTTGAAAAACAGTGCTCCAGGTCTGTTCTGATAAAGAAAACTGAACTTATCAATAAAGTTATAACTTACAAGTAAAGCTCATTTTTCATTCTCTTAGTATACTTGAGTAACTTATAATAATGCTTATATTGCACTAGATTTTTAACCATTTGCCATTTATTTTCCAAACTATATATGGCAATGAGCTATTTGCCTTCAGATATCCTCCACTTGTAATATTCTTCTGGTCAGGATATTAGGGATTTTTTTAAAGCCCCAGTTTATCGTGTACACCCATATTTCACACAGCTCCCTGGAGCTTCTGAAAGGTAGGATGTACTATAATCTGTTCACTGATAAGGCTTAAGCTAATTTATACCTGAATAGTAAGATTCATCACAGAAGGAGAATTGGCTTTGGTCTTTGACTCAATGAAGTGTGTCTTAGATTCTGTCTGAAGTTCTGGGGAGATTGGTGGTTGGAAAGCTATCACAGCCCCAAGTCTGACCAGAGTGTGGTGTAGTCTTCAGCTGCTTCTGACCCTAGGAAGTAAGGGAACAGTCAAGTGATCTATTTTGTGTTTGTTCCATTTACTGCTGAGTTGCTATAAATTCTTGTGACTTCACACATCTTCTCTGCACTTTGATGTATAATGAGAGACACCATTGCTTACTTCAGATGCAGTAGAAGACACAGCACATAGAAACATCAAGTACTTTAACAAGTCTTGAAGGATTGAATAAACTTCAAATGTTCTGATGAGAATAGGGTTAACTGGAAGATTCATGTGACTCATAAAATAATCTCACACAGTTACTTAGAAACATGGCAGTTCTTTATCTGTATTTGGTTATTTTGGTATGAAAAATTATCATTCTTTACACAGAAATAATTTTACCTTGGGGAAAAAAAATCTTGTAATCTTATGAGCACCATTCCCAAAGAGAAACTGTAGCTGTTTAGTTTAGTTTTGTTTTATTTTGTCTTTTGTTTTTTGAGACTGGGTCTTGCTATATAGTCCAGACTTGCTTTGAACTTACTGTGTAGCCCATGTTGGCTTTGAACTTGCAGCAGTCTTAATGTCTCAGCCTCCCAGGTGCTGCAGTTACAGACATGGGTTACCATGCTTGGTCCATTTTTTGCCAAAGTCCTGTAGTGAATCATTGGAAAGGTGGAAATGAAAGCTAGACTTCTACAGTACTCTTTTCTCTGTCCTATCTTCTTTATTAACAATTTCGGGGCCACCTGAACATGATGTGTAATTATTTGGCAGTGTAGTCATGAGCTATAGCACAAGCAATACTCAGGACATAGATGCTTGTCACCTGTTGGCATTTTTTAGTTTTTTTCTTGTGTAATCAAGCTGGTCTCAAAGTCACTGTGATCCTCCTCCCTCAGCTTCCCAAGTGCTGGCATTACAGGTGTGCGCCACTATGCCTGGCTTGAAATACTGACTTTTAAAATATTATTTAGGTCTTAAGTTTCAGAAGTCATTTTTTAAAAAATAAAGTATCTCTACAGATACTTTGATCATTTGTATAAAATACTTTGAGAGGGTATCCTAATCTTTGTGGCAGAAAGATTATTTTACTCTTACAAAACCTTGTTTTTAGACATATGGCTTATTAAGTTGTGCAGTCTGGCTTTGGACTTGCAGCCCTCCCGGCTCAGCCTCCTGAGTATTTTGGATTTCAGGTATGTGTTTTGCCTGGGTGAGGAGGATCATCTTTAAGGCAGTGCTTCTTGCTTCATAACACTGAGAAAAGTCTTTTGAGTCTTTGGCTTTGGGGAATTATGTCGTGGGGACAGAAAACTCGCGTAATTTTTTCAGAATCTAAAACCACCTCCCTTTACTGTGCTGCACATTGATCTTTAACCTGAATTGAGAAGGGGGCCGGGGTGCTTTTCCCTCTCTGATGTTAAGTAGAAGTTACTGAGCCATCAACTGAATTTCCCTCGCCTAGAAAAATGTGCTAGTATAGGCATCAGAGCTTAACAAAGACTGGTCCTTGCAAATTGAAGATCAAATTCATGCCTGCCTCGTTCTCACCGGTTGTGAATACTGAACCTAGTGTCGGGGCTGCTCCTCATCCAGACCGTGCAGTGTGGGTTCATCTTTATGTTGACGCTGCCTTGGTGAACCCAGCCGGTCGAGATGAACACGAGGGGTGTAGTAGTAGGGATGACAGCAGAGCAGAACAAACTCCGTGGTACCGCCTTTTCATCGTGATGTTTACCTTAGAAATGAAGTCTCTAGCTTGGTCAGTTACTGCTGCGGAGGTTGCAGGTTTTCCTCCTGGAAGGCGGAAGGCGTCCTGGGCGCCTGCGGATAGTGCCTGGGTCGTCCGGGTCCCAGGGAGCACACAGACCCCTACGGGACCCAGTAACGCTGCTGCTTCCCAGTAATGCTGCTGCTTCCCAGTAATGCTGCTGCTTCCCCGCAGGTGCCTGAGATCATCAGCTCCATCCGCCAGGCTGGGAAGATCGCCCGCCAGGAGGAGCTGCGCTGCCCTTCTGAGTTCGACGACACCTTCGCCAAGAAGTTCGAGGTCCTCTTCTGTGGCCGAGTGACAGTGGCGCACAAGAAGGCCCCGCCGGCCCTGATCGACGAGTGCATCGAGAAGTTCAACCACGTCAGCTGCAGCCTAAGGGTGGATGGGGAGCCACCCTTGAAGGGTCCCGTGCCCCCCGCCGAAGGGGTCCCATCCCCTGGGGCCCCGAGGCACCGGCCAATGCGCAAGTCCTTGTCGCAGCCTGGGCTGCGCTCGCTTGCCTACAGGAGGGAGTTCCAGGATGGCGGCCTGCGGAGCAGCAGCTTCTTCAGCTCCTTCGAGGAGAATGACATCGAGAACCACCTGATCAGCGGGCACCATATCGTGCAGCCCACAGACATTGAGGAAAATCGAACTATGCTCTTCACGGTAAAATATCACCCAGCTCTGCGTTCATCAGCAGACTCTGAGATATGTGTTCCAGAGAAGCTGCTTTATGGAGCAGATCTTAGTAAATGCCTTTGAGTTTATTCTTGAATCCATATATTTTCATATGAGTAATTCTCAGGATAAAGTCCTTATATTAGCCTTTAAAGTCATTAGAGGGAAACATACTGGAATTCATCCCCTGTCCTTGTATGGTTTTTTAATCTCTCTCCCTCATCTCATGATTGTAAGCACACATTTTTGGTGTGGAAAGAACAGCTGCAGTAAGCAAGAGAGGCCACAAGAGAAATTTTTAACAATGTATATTAACTTTAGGTAATGTATTTCAACAAAATCTTTAGGTGGGAAATACTTTCTTCACCGTTTTACTAAATTATGAAGTATTTGCCCTTTGTTAGGACAGATTTGTGGATAATCTTTTACTTGAAATTTATACTCAAAGTAAAATACTAATTTAGCCAGTTGCTTGCTTTTTGTTGTTGTCGTTCTAGAAGTAGTTTTGTTGAAGTGACAGCCGATTGCTGGAAAAGGGGTGGCCAGGGCAGCTTCCCCTGCCCTTCGGGGTGCTGGGGTTCATACCCATTGGGCTTTTGTGGAGGGGATTGCCCACCCTGGCCCTTCCCAGAGTCGGAGCTGTGGGATTACACCTGGCCCAGCAGGCAGCTGGTTTTTCCTTGGTCTCCTCCCTGCGTCTTTGGCTTGATGCTGACTCTCTGTAGTGAGCAAAAGTGCCTGAAAAGAAATATATGATTTTTATGCTTAACCCAAGGCAGTGAAGTGGCAAGCAGTAGGGAAGTTGGCCCCTGAAGTTAACCTGTGTGGATGGATGCAGTTTTGAAATCCAGATAGTGATCAGAAAGTGATCCAGACAGTGATTGTTCTTGGTGTTTTCTTTGCTTGGCAGGCTTCGCTCAGTTGTCCCAGGTCATGCCTCTTCACTGCCTATAAGTCTCTGCTGAAATGTTAACATGACATGGAGAAATGACCTGTCAGTGAGGCCAATAGCAAACTCCCACTTCATTTAACTTCTCCATGGTGCTCATCACCATCTGACATCATTATAAATGAACAAATATTTTGTGTCCCATATACCCCCAAGAACATGGGCTTTCCAAAGGTATAGATTTACATCTGCTATCATCACTGTGCCAGAGCTCAGCCTGGCATGTTGTAGGAGGAGCTCAGCAGACACTTGCTGGGGGAGGGCAAAGGCCAGGTGATGGGACTTAGAGCAGAGGAAAGTGGGTAGGGGTGGGACAGGGTGGGGCTTCCCTAAGAAGAATCTTTGGGGCCATGTTCAGGATTCTACTTTGTATACTAAAAGGATCAGGTAATTACTGAAAGGTTTAAAACACTGCGTAAAGTGGCTTTGGCTACAGAGCAGGGACGTCCTCAGGGGAGAAATAGTGGGAAGGGTTAGGAAGCCATCGCAGTGTGCAGGCGGGAGATGGGGAGCACGGAGTGTCAAGGCAGTGGGGACGGGAAGAAGTGACGGGTGCGAGACGCTCACACTGTCAAGCTGATGCACAAAGGGGTGGGATGGGAGAAGGCTCTCGGGGCCGCCAGCTTCAAATTCTGATTTATTCTCTGCAGGTGAGCCACAACCAAATAAGAGCACTTCGGGGAATTTCTCAGCTATGAAATTTTCAATGATTCTTTTTAAAAACAAATAAGGATTATCTTCATTATGTAGGTGAAAACACTGCCTCTAAAGAGATGAAATATATCCAAAGTAGAGATTCATTCATTGTTTTCAAATAAGGGGACCACTAAGTTGGTCCCTACTCTAGAGAGACAAACAGTTTAGGCTAATTTATTTTATTTTATTTTTTTAAAATTAATTTTATTGGTACATTTTATGTATACAATACAATGACATTCATCATTGGATATTTGCACCTTTACATAATCTCTCTTGGTTCTTATTTTTTCCCCTTTCCCTGCCCTCCAACCCCTCCATTCCTGCCCATTTACAAACACTTTGCTTCCATTTTTTCATTTTCTCATATTAACTCCATACCCTTCTTTCCTTTCCCCTACCCCTCCGACTTCCCCTTCGCCCCTTTTCTTCCTATTTCACATTGCCTATTATACCTTTTAGTCCTTATTTACACTTTCAGTTTCTCACACTTGAGAAATTATTCAGTATTTACAGGTGTGTCCTATTTATTTCACTTAAGACTGTCACCTCAGTGTGCATCCATTTAACTATAAATGTCTCTAAAAATTTCTCATTTTTTCATTTCTCTAAAATTGCTCATTTTTTATGGCTGAGTAGTACTCCATTTTATAGAAAAATCACATTTTTTTATCCAATCTCCAGTTGATGGGCAATTGAGCTACTTCCAAGTTTCAGCTATTACAAATTGTGCTGCTATGAACATGGGTGCACATGTATCACTGTGGTATGATTCTTTTAATGCTTTGGGGAAGATACCCAGTAGGGGAATAGCTGGGTCAAATGGGATCTCTAGTCCTAGTTCTTTGAGGTATCTCCGTACTCATTTCCACAGTGGTTGCACCAGTTGGCACTCCCACGATCCCGTGAACAGTGGAGCAGTGTTCCTCTTTCCCCACAGCCCTGCCCTCATTTGTTATTGGTTGATTCCATGATAGCAGCCATTCTTTCTGGGATGAGGTAGAATCTCAGCATTATTTTCATTTGCATCTCTTGAATGACCAGTGATGTTGAACATTTTTTCATATGTTTATTTGGTATTTCTTCTTCTTTGAGAAATGTCTTTTCATTTCAGATGCCCATTTTTGGATTGGGTCTTTAAATTTGGGAGGTCTGATTTTTTTAAGTTCTTTATAGATTTGAAATAGTAGACCTTTATCTGAGGGACTGCTGGTGTCTGAGGGTCCCACATTGTGGGTTTTCTCTTCATGCTGCTGGTGGTTTCTCTTGCTGTGCAGAAGCGTTTTTGTAAGAAGAGATCCCACTTGTTGATTGTTTGTGCTAGTTCACAGGCAACTGAGGTTTTGTTCATAAAATCTTTTCCTACCCCAATGTCTTCAAGAGTTCTACCTAACCTCTGTTTCAGCTGGTTTAGCATTTCTGTTTTTATATTTAGATGTTCAATCTATTTCGATTTTAGTTTAGTGCATGGTGAGAGATATAGATCTAGTTTTAGTTTTTGGCAAGTTGAAACCCAGTTTCTCCAGCATTATTTATTAAAGAGGCTATCTTTCCTCCAGTGAGGGTGTTTGGCTCCTTTGTCAAAAATGAGGTGGCTGAGTGTGTCTGGAGTTGTTTCTGCATCTTCTAAGCTGTTCCACTGGTCCTCAGGTCTGTTTCTTTGCCAGTACCATGCTGTTTTTTATCACAGTAGCTTTGTAGTATAGTTTCAAGTTGGGGATTGTGCCATGTCTTTATGCTTAGAATTGCTTTTGTTATTTTGGGTCTCTTCTTCCAAATGAATTTTTAGATTGTTTTCTCTAGGTCTGTGAAGTATGCTGCTGGGAATTCAATTGAATTCTATAGGGGACAGGGGAAGGGGACGTTACCAGAACCTCTGCAGTTAGTCCTGGTCTCCTGTGAGCCACGGCAGCACACGGCAAATTACAGGAAAGGTAGAAAAATGAGACTGAGAAGAAGC